AGTCCACATTCTGTGGTAGCTATAAATGCGGATAAGACCGTAAAAACATTATGTAGATTTAGGCTTCTCTGAGACTATAACGAGTGTTATGCAACATCAATTAAAATCCATTTTTTCTCCCACAATATTTTCCCGTCTTCCTCTTTTTGATTTGAGATGAACTTAGATTGAAAGCATGCGATGTGAAAGAGACTTTTAAAAGAGAATAGTTCAGAAAGAAGCACTTCTCTGGACAATCTATACTAAGAAATTACTTTTAGATAAAGGGGTTATTTTTGTTTGTATGAATTTGATACACTAAAACTTGGAGATGGTGTGTGTAGAGAAGGCAAGGTCTGCCTTTGAGCAGTAATCAACATTTTGAAAATATCAATGACCCTACAGCTCTTTGTTGAGAAAGTTGCAATAAAACAAACTTTCATTCCTAATGCAAACTCGTTTTTTCATTTACATTAGCTGATTCACGAGTGGAGAATTGCAAATACGAAGATTTGATTATTAATAGGGGGCAACACTTTGGTTGAGAAGGGACAGTTACAAGGAAGTTTTGGAAATTTTGATAAAACAGAATGTTTACCTGGCACCAAGCCTCCACCTTCCATTAGTGATTCCCCACACAGACCCGGCATTAATACCAAACCAACCCCACCAGAGCAGAAACGTTCCTTGAATGAAATAAAATTTATGCGACTGCTCAGGTGTTATCCATAAATATTAATGTGAATTTTAATTTGAAAGTCAACATAAAACTCGGAAAAGTAGCAAACTTACCAAGCAGAGCATTCGTTGGTGAACTCATTTGATGAACACTATCCTCATTAAAGCGATTTCGCCTTGGTTTGAGATATACGGTTGCTATCAAACCGATGATCCCACCAACCATATGGACCTGTAAGTTGTCTGATGATGACTATTCCACTATGCATTACTCCTAAAGGTATTAAGTTCAAAGTGATCATAAAAACAGAAAAGCAGAATTAAGTAAAACATCATACAGCAGAGCATCCAGCAAAGTCGACAACGCCGAGCTTGTAGAAGAAGCCCTCGCTATCCCA